GTGTGTGTGTGTGTGTGTGTGTGTGTGTGTGTGTGTGTGTGTGTGTGTGTGTGTGTGTGTGTGTGTGTGTGTGTGTGTGTGTGTGTGTTTTAATCCAGACAACCGGATACTAACACAGCAAACCGGACTGTCCAGGTCCAGATGTCTGGATGTCTGGTTTGATGTGCGGTTAACTAGACGTCCAGCTTGATCCAGACACGGGTCCGGTGTCCTTGTCCGGTTGTCCGGTTGTTCGGGTCCGGGGCAACCATGAAATTTAATGAAAAGGAATACTACAACCGCTTCCCCTTCGGACTTAGCCGTCATGGTCCATCCGAATTACAGAAGAAAAACACACAAAAAAAAATGATGTCACGAGACGCACGGCTGATTATTAAAAAAGAAAAGAAATTACTGTGGAATGGAATGGATTAAAATAAGAAGACACAAAGACACTGTCACTGATTAGACGCTCGGAGGTATAGGGCACAAATCTGAGTGTTGTTCTTTCGATGAGTATTCAGCGTTCACCAATTGCGTACTACCCTCTTCATAAGAGGTGTGAAACAAGGAGCCATGGAAACGTGAACTACCAATCCTACAGACGGTTTGGTTCAACTACCAGACCTGCGTTTGCAACCCCCAAAGCTTTCACGATAAGCGAGACTTCTTTTGTTGGCGAAGTCAGTGTGTGACTTGTCTAAAGGAGAATTGTCTCATGAGGTCGCCAGTGTCCACGGCAGGACTTCCAGATGGGAATGTAAGTCGAAGACGTGTTCGGATTTCATAGTCTGGTTCATGCATTCAATCCTTGAAACCTCCTTTGTGCCATCATGTCACCCTCTGTTTGGTGGACGTTGCGTTCGATAGAGAAAATTGATGAATTCGGCAATATGGATAAAGGGCTACTTCAGAGCAGTGTTCACACCTTGCAAAAGACCGGAGCGAAATCTTAGACTTAGTAGCAAATCTTCGCTACATCCACGGGTTGTCAATTGATGGTTTTGGACTACAGTGCAACTCAAGGTCCCATAGTCAACAACGTCCACGAGAGGTTTACCCCGGGCCCATTTTGTGTACGTAGTGGGGTTTTCAGAGGGAATTCATCAGGAGTTACTTGTGGCTTGCCACAGATGACCCTAAAATCGAGCCGGGGTGAATGTGTGTCTCACACCAGACAACAAATGACTGCTTGTAACAGTTCGTACTACGGTTGATCTGTCCTGCAAACAAACTCATCACTACAATGGCGGGAATCCTACTAACAAGTTCGGATCGCGGCGAACTTCGGAAATTGCGCACCCCAAGATCCTGCGCAGGGCCCGCCTGCACTTCCGCACAATCCTTATTCGTCGGACATTCGTTGTTCAGGTCTGCACGATGACTTCGTCAACTATAAATGGTTAAGAATAAAATGTGTCCACCGCACCCACTGTAAACCCCTGTTGCACTTTTCTATTCGAGCGAGGTGATGCTTGGCCGACGTTCTCTTCGAGACGATGGACATAGACTATGTAACCATTTGAACGCGTTCAACGTGCGTTCACGTTCAAAGCGCGCATATGCGTGTTCAAACGCATTCATTAGCGCCACGCGGCATACGGTGGGAGAAAACTGAATGCGCGCCCCCCACCAGGTTTCGCGTGTCAAAAGCCACCGGGGGGGCAAGCAGTTTTGGGGAAAAAACAACAACAACGTATGTGTTTGTGTGTATGTATGGATTGATTGATGTATTGATGTATTGATGTATTGATTGATTGATTGATTGATTGGTTATTGATTGATTGATCATTGATTGATTGATTGATTGATTGATTGATTGATCAATTGATTGAATTGGCTGGATGGAAGGGGAAAAAAAAAAAAAAAAAAAAAAACACTTGCAGCGGCGGAGCAGCACAGACCACCGCATGGGGGCAGTGGTGGCGGCTTTGGGGGCAGCGGCGGTGGCGTTGGGCCCAGTGGCAGCGGCGGTGGCGTCGGGGCCAGCGGTGGCGATGGGGGGAGCAACGTCGATGAGAGGAGGAGGAGGACAGGGAAGGGCGAGGAGGAGGGGGAGGAGGAAGAGGAAGAAGAGGACGGGGAGTAGGAGAAAGAGGACGCGGAAAAAGAAGATGAGGAGGAGGAGAAGAGGGGAGATATGGCGTGTCCAAAAAGCAAAAAGAACCACAAGTTCCACGTGGCACATTCTCAGAGGAGGACAAGGTGGACGAGGGGGAAGAGGAGGAGGAGGACAGGGGCTCAGGGAGGACAATGAAGAAGAAGAAGAGGAGGAGGGTGAGAGGAAGAGGAGGAAGACGAAGGAGAGGAGGAGGAGGTAGATGAAGTTGTGGCGGGCAAAGCAAAAAACAAAAAGGTATGTGCGCCCACGCTCAAGTGTGTGTGTGTGTGTGTGTGTGTGTGTATGTGTGTTCATGCCTGTGTGTGTGTGTATGTGTGTG